GTGATCAGGAGTGAGAGCCCAGGAGGGCTGCTCTCCTCCCACCTGCAGCCTGGGAGGTGCCAAGAGCCCTGTGACTTACGGGAGTGTCTGAGGACTGGCCTTTCCAGCCAGGACTAGAGACAGGACCTCCCCACAACACTCAGTTTCCAGGGGCCAAGAAAGGCTTCCAGGCAACCAGTCACCCCACTTTCCCAAGGGTACAGTGAGGCAAGGTGGTAACTTTGCCTCTGCAGTCACGGCTCCCTGCAGACTGGGTCAGCTGGGCGGGATCTGCTCTGAACAGGACCATGTGGGCCAGGCCTCTTCCTGGGCCAACCCCTGGCTCTGCCCATGGGCTCCAGGGCCCCAGGCTGCTCCACTCTCCTGTCCCTGGGCTCTACCCCTCACTTTCAGGTCTCAGGTCAAATCTCACCTCTTCCACGAGGCTTCCCTGACCTCCAGATGAGTGCTGGCCCGCTCAGCCACCTGTTTGTTTCCTTCTTGGCATTTATCACAACCCACATGTCTTCATTTGCTTGTTTTCCTCTTCACACTCTGTCTTCCTACGCTGCCATGTAAGTGTCCGGAGGACAATGCCCTCGTCTGCTTTGTGTCCCAGCAACTAGAGTCGGGTCTGGCACATAGGAGGGGCTCCAAAATATATGTTGGATGAGTTGGTGGGTGGAGAGCTGTCAGGCTCTCCTGAAGTGCCTCATTGTTACCACCCATCCACATGGGCATGGAAGCTACACTGACTGGCTTGCCAGGGCTCCGCCTGGCTCTCACACAAACCCAAATTCTGCCGCCACGTCCCAGGCACTTGGGTGGGTGGTCTCTGCAATGAGGGAGTTGAAGTTGACCACGTATTCTGTCTGAGGACCACTTTGGGCATGGCTGAGAGCGTAAATCATCTTGGGAGGGTGAGGGAAGGGGGTACTGGGACCATTACCTGCAGCTCCCGGATGGCACACCCCACATGTCTACACACCTCTGTATACACACTGCTCTTCTAAAGGCAGGTCCTCAGCTTTGGGTCTTCAAAAACCCTGACCCTGACCCAGGCTATGGGCTACAGCCCCTGGTGAGTTTATATGATGCACAGAAAAGAAAGCCTGTAATCCAGTTGTGTCTGCTGGTGGTGGGCACCTGGTTCCTGTCTGCAGTGCCTTCTGTCTGCAGAAGGTGGAGCCTGTTGTGCCAGGCTGGGGTTCAGGACGGGCAGCACGGAAGGTGGCTGGCTCTGGGCGCTGCGCATGCCTCTGCATCCACGTCCCACCGTTCTCACCTGCGTTGGGCCTTGCTGAGTATGCGGCCACCTTAGAGCCAGAAGTCACCTCACTGTGGCTTTATGGTGTGTGTGGGGTGAGGCAGTCCTCTGCTGGGGTCTGAGGGCCTGCAGGAGGAGGCCCAGGCAGTGCTGCTGATGAGACCTGGAATAAGGGGAGGGGCTCTCCTCAGGAGTCAAGGCGAGGACAAGTTCTCAGACAGAGACGATGCACTGTACAAACATACTTGCAGGCAATTTAGCATCCCAAAGTGGAAAGTAATGGGCTTCCTCTCATGTGCAATCCAGGGCACAGTCCTGAGAGGGGACCTGGCATAGGTTTACTCTGTGCCAGGAACCGGTTGTCTGTGCTCTGGTGCAGTCAGTGGTGAGAGAGGCTTCCTGCTTGGGTGAAGGAATAGGACTCACCTACACTCTGAGTTGTCAGTCCCAGGTCTGTGAGGCTCGAATGGAGACTCCTTACCTGAACCACAGAGGAAGTCTGTAGCTCTGACTGGTACAAATGGACTTGTTTCTCCTCCTGTCATAACTTCCGTGTAACAATTCCCGTTTCTGATCGAGTTCAGTAAATTCAGTAAGTGTGGAAAAGCAGCTTATTTGGTACGATGATCAGTTTCTCACCTGGGTAAACGACTTTCTTGATGACTATAAATTAAACAGGTTATGTCTTTTGCATGCATCACGGTTGCCTCGTCAACACTGGGGCAGTTGCGGGTGGTCTCACCTGGTTACCTTTCCCACTGCTGTTTTATCATCATCCTGGTAGGGAGGGACTTCAGAGACCACCAAAGCTCGCTCTGGACGAGGAGAACCCCTTTAAATTCATCCTGTTTTAGTAACAAGGAGGCAGGGATGACGGGGGCTTTTTTAATGAGGAAGCCACGGCTTGTTGGCATCTCTGTGGCAGACGGGATCCCAGGCCCGTCCCGGTATGCAGTGTTCCTAGCTTGGCGCAGGCCTGTTGTCCGCAGGCCGGGAAGCAGCAGGGGCAAGGCTTTAAATCGACTTTTACCTTAATTGCAAATATTAGGAATCAATTGTCTGCTGACAGCTGATTCCATGTCAGAGAGAACCTGAGTGTTCTGACCACTTCCACGAGCCCCGGTGGGCACGTTTTCTGAACACGATGACCTCAGTCACACTGCGAGCGAATGAAACGTGGGCATTGGCAGCACCACACGCAGTGCTGTTCTTCCGAGGCGTTCACTGTGGTTGCGCCTGCAGGTGATTACAAGGAGAAAGGGTTGGAGAGGGGTTCTCCCCGTCCAGAGCAAGCTGGCTTTGGTGGTCTCTGAAGTCCCTCCCTGTGCTGCGACTCCAGACTCTGGTGCCCTTGCCCCAGAAGGCCCACCTTCAAGGACACCTGTCCCCTTCCAGCACCATCCTTCCAGCCTCCCTCCTGCCCCCTTGGAGGAGGCCAGGGGAGATGCATCCCTCAAAAGTTCACTGCATGGGTGACCCTCCCCACCCTAGTCATCTCAGCCTCTAGCCTGGGGTTTGAGCAGTGGCAACATCTGCGTTAAGGAGATCAGCTTTTAAAACTGTTGTGTTTCTTAAAACCTGAGTGTACAGGGGCCATGTGAGGACAAAGGCCCAGCCCCTATGGGGTCTCCAGAGGCCAGAGAGTGCGGCAGACACTATGGGGCAGGAGGATTCAGAGAGGGGCACTTGGAGAGGAGATGGCAGGAAAGGGACCCCAGGTGTGAGTTGGAGCTGATTTAGGGGTCAAGAGCACAGCCAGGGTGGGCAGCACAGCGGAAGCAAAAGAGACCACAGACTCAGAAACCCTGACTCTTGTTTCTTTTCCAAATGAAGCAATTAGTGGGTGCCCTTCCCATCACACACGGCAGTTTATTAAAACGGCGATTCAATGGCGATGCGCTGCGTTCTGGCACTGTGCGGGGGAAGAAGGAAATGCTGACCTTTGCACAGCTGTTCGTTTCTTCTAGGAGCCACCAGCGCTTTCCTGGGTAACCCATTTTCCAGGAATCAGGCTCATCAAACACACTTTGTGGCAAAGCAGCCATAAACACCGGGGTGGGGGCCTCCAGCCCAGAGCCCCCCTCCCTCTGCCCGTCAGCCTTGACAGGAAGCTGTGCACTGCGGCTGCTGAAGGCCACGGAGCCTTCGCGGTGACACTCGAGCAATTAGCAGAGTGGATAAAGGACATTCACTCGCCCGCGTAGGATCCGCACTTTTACACTGCTTGGAGATATTTTGACCTTCTAGTTTATTATGATTCAAGAAAAAGTCAATATTTCTTAGCTTGCCAAGGCCGGAGGAATTTAAATGAGTTATTGAATCAAGCACTTAATCTACCGATAACTGATTCTTTTCCTTTCAAATCTATAATGATGAAAAGCAGGCTTAACCAAAAACAAGAAAAGGAAGGTTCTTTTTTTTTCCCCCGTAGACAATTTTAATTTTAGCCCATGGGATAGGAGCTGAGGCTGGAAGTGCAGGCTTGAGTGCCAGGGCCATTCTGTTTTGCTGAGTATTTTGAAGGTTTCATTAAAACTTAAAAGCAAAACTTCTGTGGCCGTGAAATCTGCATTCATGTTTGAATTTGATATCCCTCTATAATCCTCAGCTTCCTATCTGTTGCCATCAATGCCACGTGCAGTCAGCCAGTTTCCTGGCTCCGGTGGCCGTGTGTGATGCTGTGGGAGACACTTGCTTGGCCTTTCACGAAGCGGACCCCATTCAGCATGAACCAGTCTCCCCTCCTCCTGCCCGCTTGGCCCTCTGAGCTCTGGGCACCACTGCCTGAGATCATCAAGGGCATGTGTTGGGTGCAGGTTCTCAGCCTTCTTGCCGGGGCTGCAACACTGTGCTAGGAGGGACTAGGCCAGTGATGGCGAACCTTTTGAGCTCGGCATGTCAGCATTTTGAAAAACCCTAACTTAACTCTGGTGCTGTGTCACATATAGAAATTTTTTGATATTTGCAACCATAATAAAACAAAGACATATTTTTGATATTTATTTTATATGTTTAAATGCCATTTAACAAAGAAAAATCAACCAAAAAAATGAGTTCGCGTGTCACCTCTGACACGCATGTCATAGGTTCACCATCACTGGACTAGGCAGTGGAGAAAGGCTGCAGCCGCCACCACGGATGATGTGCTTCCAGGGAGCTCTGGCCTCCCTGCCCTGACTGCCCTCCGCCCCACCCTGACACCACTTCCTCCTCACTCTACACTTCCTCCCTAGATCCCACAGCGGCTCCCCAGGGTCTAACATATGGGAAATTCCTCTGCCTGGCTTTCTCAGTCCCCTGGAACCACACCTTGCTCCCCTTCACTGGCCCATGCCTCAGCCCCTGCGCAAAGCTCCTCCTCCCCTCAGGTCTCCTCCCTGCAGTGTGTTATGGGAGCTTGACTCAAGCGTCTACATCTCTTAGGAGGCCTCCTGCTCTCAGTCGGCAGGGCCCATGGGCACTTTGCCACCTCCGTGTAGTCCCGTCTACTTCTCCCTTCCAGATGGCAGGGCTCCTGTCTGAGAGGTTTGGTGTGAGCCATAAAAACCGGGCTCTACACTGCAGGACACTGCTCTTGGCACCCACAGCCGCCTCCTGTTGGAGGGAAGGGACTCCCTCAGGCACCCGAGCCCCCAGGCCTCGGCCTCACAAGCAAATGGAGCTTCTGCTCACCAGGACTTGAAAGAGCCACCAAGGAAGCCCAGGACCCCACCCGCGTGCCTGCAGCTGACCTCTGTGTTTGTGTGCTTGGCAGGGCCCTCCGACCATGACTGGCTGCGGTCCTCCTGCGGGAAGAAGCTGTGCGGCCGCGGGAGCAGGTGCACACTCAGCCGGGAGACGGGGGAGCCCGAATGCCGGTGCCTGGAGGCCTGCAAGCCCAGCTACGTTCCCGTGTGCGGCTCCGATGGGAGGTTCTATGAAAACCACTGTGAGCTCTACCGCGCCGCGTGCCTGCTGAAGAAGAAGATCGTCATCGCCCACAGCAAGGACTGTTTCCTTAAAGGTAGGAAGGTGGCTTCGTGCCCCTGTGATTTGAGCTTTGGGTGTGGTTCTTCTAATGCCCTTCTGACCACTGACCCGGTGCTGAGTTTATAGGCTAAAGTGTAAAGGCAATAGAGAAAGAGGAAGGCTGGGGCCTTCACGGTGTGGCAGCGGTGGCATTTTGGAGATGCAGGTTCTGTTGTGGCCACCTGCCCTCGAAGAGCAGGATCCAGAGAGGCCCAGTGATGCCCTGGCTGCCATGGGACACAGAGGAACCAGCCACAAGGTGGTGCCCAGGCCTCCACTCACATGGGGCGGGCCCTGTCGGGGTGCTGATAGGGCCTGCATGTACCCCCTGGACAGAGTCTCAGGAATCAGGAGCACCTGTGCATAGCATGTGGCCAGGTGGACACCAGCACAGTGGGTCCCAGCATGTCAGGCTCTCGAGCTCCGGCCTGTAGTGGTCGCTGGTGGAACAGCACTCCGTGCCTGGCCTGGCCTGGCCAGAACACCCTGAGCAAGACAGGGAGGCCCTGAGTGGACATCAGAACATGTCCATGGAGTCGGGGCCAAGGGGTTCGTGCTCCGTGCTGGGGTTGAGTCAGAAGAGAAGGGCAGTGGCAGTTCCGGCTGGAGGGATAGAGCCTCAGGCAGGGCCTCGGGCTCTTCACACCTGATCCATTCTCAGCACCTGGCACAGTGCCTGGCACCAAGGAGACACTCAGTGGCTCACAGATGCTGGAAGGTGTGAGAGTTAGAATGCAAATTCCTATGTTGGTGTGGCCCCAATGAATGGTGCATGGTACACGCTACACAGTGTGACAGGCGTGTTTCAGCAGTGGGGCACAGGTCTGTGGCTTCTCCCCATGCTACCTGTGCTCACGTGAAGGGCCTCCCCACCTCGGCCACGGGCTGTGGCAGCAGGGAGCCCGGGGGGCACTCGGGGCTCTGGAAAGCCAAGTTTATCCCTGATGGGAACAGCCTTGGGCAGTTTCATGGCTGTGCTTATGACGCTAATGCTGAGGTGCTCCAGAAATCATGAGGCACATTATGGAAATGAGGCCAAAACGAGCCCAGGAAAAATGTCCCTGGCCCGGGAGCACTGCCCAGCGCATGCCTGCAGAGTTCCCAGCAGCGGTGAGCTCTAAAACACTTGACCGGTTGCTCTGGCTGTATTGGCCGTGTTGCGTTTTATAGACTGATGTTCCGTTCTCCAGTTTCCAATATCCCCCAAGTTGCATCTTCCTGAAGGTTTTCATTTCTGCCTCAGAGTATGCCCAGCCTCCCTGCCCGTCGGTTATTCAAACAGCATTTCTCATTTCATGCGAGGGAAACACGGCCACCACACAACCCAGGAGGGATGGGGCGCGGCGCGGGCAGATTCGGGTTCTGTTTCATGCTGATTGACTTTACCCACCAAAACCTCCTGACTTGTTGAGTTTTGCACGGATTTTGTGAGTCCCCGCCCACAAAGGTCCCTGTCAGTGGAGAACAGGACTTGTGAGGCCCCCAGAGGTTGCAGCTCAGCTCTGCCACGTCCCGGCTGTGTGGTCTTGGGTGCATGACTCCACCTCTCTGAGCCTTTTCTCGGATATAAAATCAAGGCTACCAGCAGTACCCGCCTACTCTGTGGAGGAAAGTACATGAGATGCTCACAGAAACCACTGAAGATGTGTGGGCACATTACAGGTGTTGGTATTAATGACACCTGTTGTCAGGCTGCATCTAATCCCGTGTGGCCTCGGGCAGGGAGACGCATAAACTGCAGGGTCCCCAGAGGCAGCAGCAAGGCTCTGCCCAGCAGGGCTTGGCAACGTGTCTGGGCCCAGGTGGCTTCTGGTAGTTGGAAAGTGGGTGTGGAAGGCCCTGAGTCGGCTGATGCTGTCTCGGAGATGCCCTGCCTGCAGGCCTGGCCCGTGGGTCAGGCCCACAGAGAAGCCTTCCCAGCCTCAGGCTCAGGGTCAGCTCCAGGCCCTGGCCGGTGGGGGTGGGAGTGGGGGTGTCTCGGAAGAAAGGGGGGTGTAAAGGACAACTTCCCGCAGTGCTGCCCCCACAATGGCAGAGTCGTCTTTAATACCATCTTGTGGGGGTGGGAGTGGGGGTGTCTCGGAAGAAAGGGGGGAGTAAAGGACAACTTCCCGCAGTGCTGCCCCCACGATGCAGGGTAGTCCTTAATACCATCTTCAGCTCCTTGATGATCATTTATCTTTTGTCCCAAATCACCAGGGAGTTATTAATACAGGAAACTTAAAAGCACCTTTTTTCCCCCCCCACAAATAAAAATTTTAAAATCATCTGTTCCATTCTCTAGTCCTACCAGACTTTACAAAGAGAAGCTATGACTTCATTCTCTAGGTTTTATCTGTCTCAAATCACCAGGGAGTTATTAATACAGGAAACTTAAAAACACCTTTCTTTCCCCCCACAAATAAAAATTTTAAAATCACCTGTTCCATTCTCTAGTCCTACCGGACTTTACAAAGAGAAGCTATGACTTCATTCTCTAGTTTTTATCTGTCGCCAGAAGTCCTTATGGGAAGGGGGCGGGGTTCACACCCCATGGGGACACAGGGCCTCGCCACTGTGCAACCTTCTCAGCCCCATGTACAAGAGAACTTCTGGTATGACATTCCAGTTGCCATGGCAATGGGGTGCCTTGTGAACTCGGAAGGAAATATCACATCATTTAGGGATCATTAGCATGTGGGAAATCAAAACTGAACTCAGAATCGTTGCTTCAGCTCGCCTTTGCAGCCCCAGCACCAGCTCTCCGGAAGTCCCAAGCGGGGTCTCTTGCCGAAAATCGGGGTTCAGAGGATGTAGGATGTGGTATCCCTTTCTTCTTGTGGCAAAATTGGAGTCATAGTTGTTCTCAGCCCCAAAGACAGCCAGAGAATACCGAGATAGTGGGTGGGATTCTCTGTAACGTTCGCTGCTTATAGTGTTTTAAAAGTTGTCGTGTGACATGGGTTCCTATTTGTGTACTAGTTGGCGCTTTTTAAATTGTTTTTCTGACTCGGTTTTGAATTCACGCTTTATCTCCTACGCTGTTCGAGAAGAGATGGCCTTTCAGCAATCGCTCACCACGCCGGGCCTGTATTATCCCAGATGATACAATGTCATAGTCGGGCAGTTTTCCAAACAAACCATGAAATTATGGAAGAAAGGAGCCTCTTAGGGGTTCAGTCGTAAACAGACCTCAAGCTTCTCATCCCACGTGCTGCTGTAGGTGCTTCAGATGGGGGTGCCCAGGCTCATGAAATCAGAGAAAATAATTTTCATTTTTGACAAAAAAATTTACTATAGGCTCACCAACAAATCTTTTGTTGTTACTAAACACAAGAATAAAAACCCAACCTTTTGTTGCATTAGCAGAACAGCTAGATCTTACTGCCAAAGAGACTTCTTTTTTCTTTTCTTGTTGTTAGACTCTGAGTCTTGTTGCTTTAGGAACATAAATTAAGCCCCAGGCCTGCAGGGCATTTCCACACTTCCTGCCAGTTACCTCTTCAGCTGCAGACCCAGCTCCCCAAGGTGTGTGAGATCCTGGCACAGGGTCCTGACTCGGCAGGAGTCTAGGGGGTTGGGTTTCACTCTGCTGGAGTGGGTCCCAACTGTAGGAAGGTAGGTGCTGGGGCCTGAGGGAGTATCATGGGGCTGAGGGGGCAGCAGGCACAAACTCAAGGGCACCGGCTTTAGATCCATCATGGAGCCATACCACACCTCTTTGGATGAGGCATGTAAGTTCTCTGTGCCTCACTTGCCTCATCTGTAAAATGGGAATGATGATCCTACCTACCTCAAGGAGCAGTGCCCCGAAGAGTGAGCACTCTTCTCTGAGTGTAATCAACAGCAGTCAGGTTGATGGTGATGTCGTTGCAAACATCAGGGCACATTTGATGCAAGAGGCCAAAAGACTCCTGCCCACACATGCAATTCCGTATGTACGGGCTAAGCAATCGGGTGGGGGGAGAGGGGGTGGATACTCCAGTGAGCGAGCAAGGTGAAAGAAGTTGGGCCTTTATTTAACGGATGACTGGAATTTGACCTGCAAATGATCAAACTTAAACCACCTTCTCCAACTGCCTTGCTTTTTGAAAGAGATGTAATGAGTCGTCCAAGCTCACCTAGCAAGTTATGAGAGAAAGAAGAGGAGAATCAAGAATCCCGATTCCAGGTCTAGAGCAGGTTTCTGGGATGAATGAAAGGCTCTCAGGAACTGTCAGCTGAGCCTGAGGGAGGGGTTGTCTGCCTGACAGGAGAAGGGGAACGTCTAGGGAAAGAGCTGGAGAAGAGACATTCAAGGTGCATCTTGAAGGGTGAGAGCGGGCATCCTAGATGCAGGCAGGAAGTGCCTGCAGACCCAGGGGGGAGCCAGTGGTTAGAAGGCAGGTCCCACAGGGGAGAGCAGCTGGGGATACATGCGGGCAGGCGGGTAAGGGAGAGCTGAGGAGGCCTGCGTGCCAAGCCTACCAGGTGTCAGGTAGCTACTCCAGCTTCCCCATTCCCCAGACAGGCACCTCGAGGCCCGGACAACACTAAGCAGTCCCTGCCCATGTCCCACAGGCCCTGCCGCTGCAGCCCGCCCTTCGCGGTCACCCACAGCTGTGGGGGTGTTTGTGCAGCAGGCATGTTCACAGCAGATGCGATGGCCTCGTCCTGTTCCCCAGAAGGCTTCCTGGTGAGCCATGGTGGCGGGGAGGCTTCGAGGTGCCGGCCTGGGGTCCCAGCAAGAAGCCCAGCCAGGGCTTTCCTGGAAAGGGGGGTGTCATCCCAAACTCACAGGCCTCCAGACATCAGAGCACCAGGCCACGCTGTCCTCTAGGGAAAGAGCTACAGGGGGAGCCCAGGACAAAGCAGCAGTGATCCCTCCCGCCTGGCCTGGCTTCTTGGCACTGGCTGCCACCCTCCAACCCTTCTTCCTGTTTCCATTTTCTTCCACTTGTCCTTCCCCTCCTGGCCCCACCCACATTCTGTCCTGAGGCCACTGCTGCCCCGTGGCTGCTGCAAAGGAATCTGTCT